AACAGAAACTTGCACAAGCCATGATGATTGCCAGTCATCTTCCTGCACGATGAGGCCTGGGTGCCTCCAGAGCTAGCAGGGTGTCTTTTCAGAGATGGAGGCTAGCCATGTGCTGGGCCTTATTAGCAAGAATACAGTGAGCAGTGATGAATCCCATCTTCATGGCATATGGAAAGCCACAAATGCTAAATGCTACTCCGTGAGATGTTGACACTCTGGAGAAAGTTCAGCAAAGGGCTCTAAGATTGTGGTGGGATAGAGGACATAACAAGGGTTGGTTGTTTAGCTTGGGAAGAGAAGGCTGATTTTGTTAATTGTTGTCTGCTACCACCTACAGGGGGGTAGAGAGAAGATACTGCCTCAGCCTTCTCACAGGGGCATGGAGAAAGGAAGTTGGCAACAAATGAACTTCTCTCCTGTAAGGATGTTTCAGCAGTGGAACAGGCTCTCCGAGATGACGCAGAGTCCTTATGCTTGGAAACGTTCAGGTTTTTCCTGGGCAAGGCCCTGTGCAACCTGATCTAACTTTGGAGTTACCTTCTGGGAGCAGAAGGCTGGAGTGGAGATCCACGGATCCTGTATGAATCCTTCAGGATTTTGTGACTAACAAATGGATTTGCTTGATTTTGCCTTTTCTTTCCTTTTTTTTTTCTTAGTGGGGTAGTAGAAGCAACCTTACAAGACAATGCAGATGGTTAATTGTCTTCACATGCCAAAAAGAAAAGAAATGGAAAAACCAGCTCAGCTGCCACCACACTCTGAATTTCAGTCTATCACACAATCGTGTTAATCCAGCATAAGTGTGGTGTGACAGAAACAAGTGATGCCATCTTTCCTTTCATCTTTCAGTTTAAAAGTGCACCATCTCTCTCCCTAGCGCTGTTCAAAGCAAAATGATTGGAGGTCACCAAACTAACAACTTTATTCTCTTTATCAGTGTTCTGGGGCACTGCTCTCCTCATTGATGTGCTCTCATCCACATGAATCTTTTCAGAGATTGTATTCGTCTTCAAATTATTTTTCATAATATCACAAGTTTTTTGAGTTCCTCATCTTCTTTTGTTTCATAACTTTCCTTCTAAGAAAACAAACAAAAAAGCATGTTCTTCATGAATAAGTGGAATTTGCCTGTAGCTTCCAGAGCTCCGTTGTACCATAAACTACAGGCTCATGTTCTCCTGCCATAACGTTTTGTGGAAGCAAAGCACAAGGCCAGATCTACTTTTTCACTGTTCCTCAGGACACACGTGACTAATCCTAGAGCCAGACGTCCCCCGTGCCTGTACAGTGCTCATCCCAAAGCATCCGAGAGATGTTCAAGCTGTCTCTTCCGTGTCAGAGACTCACATTGCTGCCAAGAGTGAGACAGAGAGAGGATTTGAGCCCCAGAAGCAGTAGGCACATTCTGCTGTAGATGTTCTTTGAGGGGGATACTTGCTGTATTGACAGTTGAAAGCAACAGCAACAATGAGGATCTGTGCCTGGCATTTCTCAACCAACTTCTCTTTCCTTGGCACTCAACAAACCATCACTGCTATTCTATCACACAGCTCAGCTGTTGACACTGGGGTTTTCAGCCCAAGGTGGCTGCAGAAAGCTTTGTCCTCATATTTCCCCTTTGTTGCACGCACTGGGATACATTCTTGTTCTAAAGAAAACTCACTGCAGCCCTGGGATGTTTGGGAGGCTATAGAATACACTTCTGCTGGATTAAAAGTAAGGTATGAACTTCACAGTGAGAAGTGAGTCAAAATGTAACCTAGATTGCTGGAGGGAGTTTTGTAGATGACCCCATCACTCTCTGTGTTGCAATACCACATCCTGCAGCATCAAAAATATCCCTTAATTAGACATCGGCCAAGATACTTGTACCCATTATCATCTCCACAGGTAGCTGTGGATGTCCAAAGGTGATACAGCAGCATCCCATCTCTCCTGTAGGAGGGATCTGAGGGTCTTCAGAAAGAGAACAGGTTTATATACTTCACAGTTAATGCTGGCCAGATACAAGATTCTAGCAACTGGAGAAAGTACCACATTTGGTACCCAGCACTGCACAGGATTGGCACCTCGGTAGAAATCACTATAGGCTTCTGGGGCAGGGTAGGCTGCTTTGCACACCTCTACCTTAGGGCCAGAAGTCTCCCAGTTTTAATCCCAGCCTGTCGATGTGACTGCCTGGCTGTTTAGAACCAATCTACCTGACAGCCTTTGCTCACGTAATGAGCTCTGTCTGACCTGTTCTTCTCCGCACAAGGGTTTTGGTTCTCTCTTATTAGTGAGGGACTTCTTCCTGCTCACTGTGTTTGCTTTAGCTCTGGGCAGACAATAATCAGGATGAGGTCCTTTGATGAACACTCAGACAGTCTGACTCTACTTATGTAGCCAATAGCCCAATGATTGAGTCACAACATGATATCTTAGGTCAATTAAATTCTGTATATAAACTACAGATCACCTCAGAAAGCTAACACAAAGCAGAAAATTATGACTAGCCTCAGACTTGATGCTATGGGGACTAAAATGTGAAAGTGGAATCACTCAGAGAAAAACATGCTATCACAGAAATCTGGAAATGCAATGGAAAATTCCTTCAGCAAGACTAAGTCAATGATACTGCAGAATAGTGTTTTCTATTCTTATTTTACTTGGTACAGGCAGATTGCATCCGTGCAATATACCAAATGAGACAAGAGGAGCAATGTATGAAGGTTGTGTGTAAGGTGGCTGATGCAAGCCCTGGCTGAAGCCAGTTAATGCCTAAGGCAGACAGAGGAGTACTTAGTGAGCCGGCCTTCTGTGCCCCACATTTTGAGTTGTCGCAGTCGCAGCTCTCATTCCTGAGGGCTTCCCACACCCTCCATTGGTCCTTTTGCTGGTCAGGCTGTGGGGCACCCATGCAGGCAGTTTTCGGAAGGCGCTCTTGTGCTGACCTCGCTCTGGTCATTGTCATTTCTGCTGCAAGGTTCTGTTCTGGGAGATGACAAAAATGCCACTCAAGGAAGTCAAGTCAGCATTTAAAATGGGTTGTTGGGGAGAAACGTCATCTGTGTCTTTGTTGAAGATAATCTGACGATGAGTAAAACAGTGCCTCCAAAACCTTCATTTCACAACATGACTGCTCAGCATTATAATGCCCCCCTCCAGTGCCAGACAGCTGCTGCCACTCTCTAGAGCTCTCCATCAGCCCTTGTGGCTGTCTACTGGGAAGTGGCAGCAGCACCTGCATGTTTTGCTGGCTTCTATCAGAAAGAAGCATTTTCTAGAGCAGAACTGAGGGTGTTTTGGGGGATTGGTGGGAAGGGTACCAGGAAGCAGCTTCTAGGAGTGAAAAGTAGGGACAGAAGGTGAGCAGGGAGCTCAGCACGCCCAGGGACATACAGGCAGGTCAGAGGTGTCAGGTGGCAATGGGCTGCAGAGCTGCATGTGTGGCCCCACCATAGTTCCATCTCTTTGCACGCTCTCATCCTCACCCACACACTCACACCATCCTCACACTGCTGACTCAGGGGAAAGAGATGTTGACGTTTTCTGCTTGGACACCACAAACAGTTTTTCTATAGCAGGAGAAAAACACACTTCCCCCCAACCATCACAACTACCCCCCCCAGCTTCTCTCCTCCCCTCAACGTGATCCCATGGGCTGTGTAACGCAGAGGGCATGAAGGGCTGCAAAATCCTCCCCCAGCAATCACAAGGTTGTTCCCAGTTCCCATACACTTCATACTGATCACATTCCTCAGGGGGCAGAAGAGCTGTGTGCAGCAGCAGAGATGAGAGCAGCCACCACAACAGGTTGCTGCTTCAGTAAGGCACACCACTCTTTTATGGTCTCTTTTATCCTCCACCCGCACCACCTGGCTGAGGAAAGCTAGAAAGTAAGCAAGGATGCCTCAGCAGTGAGGCAGCCACCTTCACCTCCCTTCCTCTAGCCCCAAGAAAAGCCCCAGCCCACCCAGCTAAGGGACTTGGGTGTCTGACACCACACACAGAAGGATGATTAAGTCTGAAAGAGTCAGAACCAGTGGGCTGCTGGAACGTGTGAGCCATGACAGTGGGGATTCTCTAAGGTAACGGGGGGCCTGGGGTGAGGCACATGAGTGGAAATGTGCTCGCCCAGCATGAGAGCTAAATGGGAGCCAAAGCAAGTCCTCTCAGTGCACAGCCCAGGTGGATTTTCCCCAGCTGTCCTGGAGAAGGATGTTTTCTCCACACAGTGTCACAGCGTGCAGCCCCTCCTTCTCAGTGCTGGTCACTTGTCCTGGGCACTTCCTCTACTGCCACTTCCACGTGGATGACCTTGTCTTGTCTTGGACCACCTCAGCTTGCTCACAGACCCTTGAGGACATGTAACTCACCACAGACCCTTTTCTCATGCTGCCTTTAAACTGACCAATCGAAAAAAATGCCCCGAAATACATTGAGGAATGGAAGAGGATAGAGGAGGGGGATATCATCAGAAAAAAAAAAAAAATTACAAGTTCTGAAAAGCCCTGAAAGAATTAGAAATAAGCTGTGAGAGGCGGAAAGATCAAACCAAAAAAGGCAAGAGATGAAAGAAAAACATGAAGAGCACTTGCTGGGAAGTGTCTTCTATACTTTTTCCATTGTCTGTGTAGAAGCAAAACTTGTAAGAAAAACAACAGCGACCCAAAGAATTTCCACTAAAAGATGCTTAGAGCAGTGCCTCTGGTCCCCCCCCTCCTCTCTCTCACTGGCTTCAGCTCTGCCCTCACATGCCTCAGCCCTACGCCTGCTTCTTGGTCGTGACGCATCTTCTTAGTGATATGAGGAAATTAGCTGCCCACCCACAGTATAAGGGTGCAGAGGGAGATGCTTTGATCAGAAGGAGAGCACGAAAGCAAGCAAGACCAGCTGGCCTTCACTCAGTTCACCCACCCACTCCAACACCTGCTTGCCCGTGCCTTATTTTTGCTGATCTCTGAAAGCTTCAGACCCCACTAAGAGCAGACCAGCTCTCACGTCTCCTGGAGGCCACCATGAGGCCAGTGCCCCCGCTGCTACTCCTCGCTCTGCTGGCTGTCGACGGTAAGAGGGACTGAGTGCAGGGAGGGCAGAGAAGCTGGGTGAGCCAGGAATTTGTCCCCTCCACATTATTTAAGCCCTTCATCCTCAACTGCAGATGGCTAGATTTCACCCTCTACTTTGTGACCCCCCACCCTTTGCTCAGCCCTCCATCTCGTTACAGCAGGCAACATCCTACCAGGAGCAGCAGGGGTAGAAAACAGAGGGCAGAAGGTGTGGGCCAGAGAGGGGAGTTCGACTCTGCTGCCCTGCTACCTGAGCCCCAGGAAGCGCGGGAAGAGTAGGAAACAGCTGTCTGACAGGACATCCGTGCTCTGGAAGCGGCACGGGGCAAGGTAAGCTAAGGCAAACACAATTCTGTCTTCTTGTGGGGAGGGGTGCTTTCCCACATCCTCTCTCTCCCGCCTCAGCCCTTGATCTAGCCTTTGCTCTCGGCAAACCTACGCCCTCTTGTCCGTGTTTCAGTGCCCCCCAGGAGCTGCACGTGGTGCTGGAGGTGGAGTACACAGGCCTGCGGAAGACGGCTCTGCCCATGAGGCCACGGGTGTCAGTCTTGGACTCTGCCTTACGCAATGGCAATTTCTCCCTGCGTATCAACCCAGTCAGGAGTGACGATGCGGGTCTGTATGAGGCACAGGTGACCTACAACACGGAGGTCCGGAGCTGCCAGGTGGAGCTGGGGGTAGTTACAGGTAAGAGAAGGTGGAAACCTTGGAGAACTTTGATTTTAGGAGGGTGTATGGGGGGGGGTTGTTGTTTGGCACAGTGTTTTGAGTACTGACAGCGGCCCCCCGAAAGCCCACAGCTTCCTGCCATCTACTCTCGCTTTTGGAGAGGGCTGCCTGAAGGACAAAGCTGGGACAGAAGGTGGACAAAGGGAGGGCTTGGCGGTCCTCCTCTGATTAGCCCTCACTTCCCTCCTTCCTTTTTGGTTGCAGTAACCCTCAGTCCACCCAGACCTGTGGTAGAAAATGAGCCGCTTCTGCTGAGCTGCAATTCTAGCCACCGGGCCAGTCTGGTGGAGACATGCTGGTTTCACAATGGGCGTCCAGTCCTCAACTCTGGGACCTTCTGCTCCTTGCATGGGGCTCTCTACATCCTCCGGCCCACTGTGAGTGACTCAGGATCCTGGCACTGCCAGCTCAGATACGCCGATAATGAAATCGTTTCTGCCACACACAGTCTGCAAATTCTAGGTGAGTTCAGCCTCTGCATTGCTACTCCAGCTTCTCTGAGTTGCTTCCTTTTGTATGGCCACTGACCAACTCCAGTAGTTACAGCTTCGCAGCTCTCACCCTATCCTCATTCCCCAGATGGTACTCTTTCCAGCCACCACTCCAAATTGTGCTCTCTCTTTCTCACTTAGGTTTCGATGGCCCAACCAACCCTGTGGTCTATGCCGCAGCTGGCTCTGCAGTTGACCTGCCATGCACCCTGAACTACCTGCCCAGTGCCTTTGGGATCCATGTGGTGAAAGCCCATTGGAGCCACTTTGCAGGAGGACACTTGCAGAACTGGAGCATCTTGCAGAACCAGAGCAACAGAAGCTTCCCCCTTCATCTCCCCGTGGTGGGGCCGGTTGATGCAGGGCGGTATTGCTGCGCTGTTGCTGTTGGCAACAAGATGCTCAGCAGGGACGTGACCTTGGCAGTGATAACAGGTGAGAAGAAAGACAGGTAGGTTCATCACCCCGTTGGGATCCTACTCTGATAAACCTCCTTCTGCATCACTGCAGTGAGTGTAGGTTGCTCCTGCTTGTAGATTCCTGCCCCAGGGTGAAAAACAAGGTTTCTATTTGAGGCATTGCACTGCACTAGACTCTTCTTAAAGCAGAGGTTTTCCTGGGCAACTTAGTTATTTGTCTGAAGGACTGAGGGAAAAAAGAAATTAGAGGAGGTAATGAAGGAGGCATGTAATAGAAAAAGAAGGGTTTAGGAAGAGATGTGGATTTGCCTGTTGACTTTCCTGAAGGTAGCTCTCTCCGTTGCTGTAGTCACCCCAGGCATCCAAGGACCAGTTTCTGAGGGATCTCATTTGCTGCTCACCTGCAGCCTTACACATCCCCAGGGACATGAACATTTCCAGTGGAAGCACCTCAGTTCTGCCTCTGCTGGCAAAAAGTTGACTGTGGCCACCTCCCACAACCTGAAGGACAGCCGAGTCCAGACTGGCCCTACCTTGGAAATACCCCAAGTGTCACAAAAGGATGTGGGCATCTGGGAATGCAGTGTATATGGCCCAGAAGGCAGACTAGGATCAGTGGAGTATGGACTGCAGATCACAGGTACTGTCTCCTGCACGTCTGAAACCAGCCCCTTCTTCTCACTCTGTTAATTCCCTTGGTCACTTCTTTTTTTGGTCTCACCCCCCCCTTTGACTGAATCCCATCTAATTGCCATCTTGTCTTAGCTCTCATCAGTTCTCCCCTTTGCTCCATCCAGTTGCTTTCATACTTTTCCAGTTTGCCTCTGTTTGAGCAGTCCAGTCTTGCTCCAGTGAAAAATAAACCTTTGCCTCCTTCCTAATTGTGGTTCTTCCTTGTAGGTGCCCAGGTCTCCAGCCCTCCCACCATCTTCAGTGGTCAGGTTACTTTTGGGCTCATGCTCACCCTCTTCTTCCTGCTTATGGTCTGTGTTCTGGCTCTGGGACTGCAAAAAAGGGTAAGTGCCCATCATGCCATTTCTGTTAGTTTTCCTCTACATCGCCCCTTATTTGACCTTCCCCTTGGGTACCCTGGAGCCAGCAATTAAATATCTGAGCTGGAGGATGAAAGGGGAAATCTGTGGAATGAGTCCCTGGCTGTGGCGCTGAAGGTGCATAGATGTGTGGTGAAAGTCATACATCAGGTAGCAGAAAGTCTGGCTAGTGCCAGGGTTTGTTTGGTGACTGGGTGCAGGTCAGGAACCTCCAAGGAGGAGTCGGAAGTCTTAGGGGACATCGGCAGCCCAGACTTGAAAAGCTCCTTGTTTACTCTCATAGAGATCAAGCCACACTGAGGCAGGTGAGCCTCCAGGCTTTTGTGGGTATCCTCTTGTTTTCCTGGATGCTTTGATATAATAGCAGTCTCTCATTTCATACAAATGCCTGTTGGTTCCCGGATGCTGATCTTAACTCAGGTCTGTTGTGCTGGCTCAGCCTTCCTGCCTCTGCCATTCACTTCCAGCAAGATACTGCCCTTTATTTGCTCAACTTCTTCCAGTATCTCAGCTTGCTGCTGAAAACAAATTGTGCAGACAAATCACACTGTTTCTCTGCATTTTTCTCATGGTTTCTTTACAAATTAACTTCACGGCAAATTCTTCTGTCAGGATTTCTCTTTGCTGGCAAGGGGCACGTCTCATGAATATGCAGCACTCTGTGTGATGTAGCTGCTTCTACCTAGCTTCTTGGAGAGGGCCAACAGTGAAAATTACCTTCCATTGCTGTGGTGGCCCACGACTCAGAGGGATCTCAGGTGTTGGCGCTTAGCTCAGCAAGGGGGCTGGGGGGTTGAACCTGCCCTGAGCTGGAGAAGGAATGTTACAGCAGTGATGCAAATTCCCAGCAAACCCCAGTGGCTGGAAGCTGAAGACAGGCAGCATCAGAACAGGAGCGAGATGGACTTTAAAAAAATACTGTGAGCATTGCCAGAGTGACCTGTGACTTGTTCTTCATCATCCATTCTTAATTGGAACTGATAGTTATTTGAGAGAGTAATCCACAGTTTCTGTAGATTTCTGGGTTACCCTTCAGACTGTGCAAGCCTAGGGGTAGGATAAGATGATCAAACCCACTCACAAATAGGATACAGAGATGTCCAGTTTTGTTAGCTTAAACAGCTCTAATCCAGCCAGAATATTAACATCTCACAGCATTTGTATATGATCTCATGGCCTTGCTGTGTGACGTAAACAAACCTCTTCTGATGAAACAGAGATCCACTGATGGTTCTCAGGACCTTTTCAGCAGAAACTCCCTGTTGGGCTCATCCCTTGTGAAAATGCAGATAAGGAGGAGCAAATATATCTTCTCTTTCTCTCCCTCTCTTTTCTGGCATTCTCTAATACTACATTTGTTCTTCTTGCATGGGTCAAACACCAGCGGCTCGCAGATATTCCTTCCTTAGCTCTTAACAACACAGTAGGCATTCCTGTTCTGAATTCCTGAACACACCAATGTACAGTTGGCACTGTTCTGTTTCACTCACCATCTTTCATCTCCTTATTCCATTCTACTGAAATATCTGGGTCTTACGTGACATTTTCTTCTTCCAAACATCAGCTTTGGCTCATCTACAGCACGGATCAGCACTTTCACATACTCAGCCATTATTGACTGGTGCCACAGCTGATCTTTGAAGACCTGTGCTTACTATTTCTATACTGGCTGGCAGAAACCAGCCAGCAAAATCCCAGTCCCTTCCCCTTATGTGAGATCACGCTTACAATGCCATTCTACTAATACCATTTCCCAGTTGCATTTTTTGTCCAGGTGGCACAATACACTTTATCACCAGCAGGAACTATTATTTCTGCCTCTTTTCTAATATCTAGAAAGTCACTTGCTAAAGCAAGATGTGGAATGGGTTCTGTCTTTATTTGGGTCTTATCTCATTTTGCACAAAGCTTCATGCCTGTAATTATTCTCTCTGAAAAGTTATTATTAAAATCTGGCATATAATTGAACCTGTCAATGGTCTGACAATTGCCCAGATCATTCTTTGCTCTCTCTCTTGAATATGTCCTGTCTTTTCTATCCCTTCTGTCCATGACACTGCAGAGAGGGCAGCATTGAGCCAGTCTTCCCCAGAAGTTGCAGGCATCAGACAGGCGTGTCTTCCTTGGCTCTAGGAGGCAATGGGAACCTTGTCATGGAGAGCAGTAGGACTGTGTCTTCCATGGCAGGGAGAAGCCCCAGATTGTGCCATGTCCCTCCAACACCTAACGCTGCCCCCTTCTTCTCTTTCAGGTGCGTCTGCCTGCTTCCTTCCCAGCACTGGAACGGATAGATGCAGTCACTGTGCCAAAGGAGATGGAAGAGAACCAGAAACAGACAATCCAGCAAACAGAGTGCTGATTGGAGCATGGGCACCAGGCCTGGTCTGCATGGGAGGATGAAGCCCTGTGTGCTGTGCTGAAGAGGAATGGGCACATGCAGACCTCTGAGGAGGGTCTAGGGATGGCATGAGCATTTCAGGAGACCGTGGGAGCTCTGCACCTGCAGAAAGGCTGGGAATTGCATACCAAGACAAGATGAAAGCCACCACTGCAATAAGGGAGCAGGTAGCACAGATGCTTTGGAGCTGTTGGAAGCATTTGGGCCAGCAGCCATCGCCTGCTTCAGTTTCACTTCTCTCTCCCAGCTCTTGCCCCTCCTTACTGCCCTCTCAGCCTTTCTCTGCTGGGCACTCAAATGCAGGAGGCAGCCAGAGCCCAGCTCCCTGACAACCCGTTGGTGTTTTCTCCCCATGCCCAGTTTCTCCTCCCACTCCCTGCACTGCCCTGCTCCTGCACTCATTCAGTGGCAGAAGGGATCCTACAGAGAACTGCACATATTACACATTTTGAGCATTTTATTTTATTAGAAATTATTTGAGAACGTAAAATAAATGTCCAAAAAAACTCTGGTCCCTTTGTGTGTTTGTAGAGGATGCTTCCTGATGGTTCTGGGAGTATCTCAGTTTGCATGAAGCGGCTTCTAAGGACTTTGCTGCCTTTCTCTTACAGTTTGGCTTTGCTGAAGTTGACTGTTAATTTCTGAAATTTTGATTTCTGAATTCTGAATCTTTTTCATTTTCTGAAATGATGGTGGGAAAGGGGAAATTAAATGTCACTAGAGAAGAAAGAATTGCAGATTCAGCCTCTCATTTTTGCTGTGATTCAGTGTCTTTTGGTATTGCTTTTTTTTGTTCCTGTCTGGCTCTTCCTGTTTGTTGATTTATTTATTCCTTCTCTTATTTCTCAGATTTTCCTGATAGATCTCTCACTGATGCTGGGACTTTCTAACATTCTCCTCAGACTCGTGATGTACTTATTAAATGTAGGAGTGAGTCCACCAAGTCCCATTTCCCACAGTCCTTAATACACCTAGTTTTCACCTAATTAGAGAATTTTTCTCACTTCCTCTCCAAATGGCCATGGAAGAGGACTGCAGTACTGCTTGAATAGTCATTGTATACCACTTCAGAGGAAAGGCTCAAAGAGTTTCACATTTAGCTTCTCCCATATGGGTTACCGGGATGTGGCTGCTCCAGCAAGGAGGCACTGGCACGAAACTTAAGCTCTGAGCATTTATGAAGGAAGACTTTCTTGCTTGGATTAGAGGACTTCACTACCAGGCCAGGTTTTCTTATTTCTGCAGACCACTGAGGAAGCCTTCTCACTGCATGGCCCTTGCCTGACCCAAGAGCTTCAGCTTTTATTGTGTCCTCAGTGAGACCTCTGCCATGATGCCCAGGCTCTTTCCTGACCTGGTATGGTTACAGGAAGCCAAAGCTAAGATGTGGTTATGCCGTTTATATTTTCCCTTTGGCTACATGACTTTGGCAACAGTGGTGCTGAATTTCATTGGCCTTCCTAATGCTGATGAGCTGTTTTCTTAGATGTCTCCAAAGTCCTTACCATTCTCAAGTTTCCTGATACAGTTAAATAGGTTCATGCCATGTGTACGCTGGGCCTTTTTCTTCTTACCCCCTAGAATGCTAGTAACTCATGATTTAATTTTGATGGAGGTGGGCTCCCTGTTGCCTTCAACAACTAGCAGCTTGGTTCCACTCCTTGCTTCCCAGCCCTGAACTGGCTCTGGGCACACAGCAAGGCTTTCTTGCTTGCCCCTGTGCAGGGTCAGCTCATTGCCCTGGGTAACCCTGCAGCTCCACGGAGGAAAGAAGAAGTTGAGAACTCTTTGAAGATGCAAAACTCAAGCCAAGCACTGGATTTTCTAGGAAACCCAATTACTTATGAATCCTCACCAAGAACTGATTGCTGAAGCCAGTGGTGATCAGATGTAAAATTATGTACAGTTATCTGTACATAAACACAATCATATGCATGAGATACCCCCCACAATCATTGTATTACTTGTAGCATGTCGTGCAAATATATTCTTTGTTGTAGGGAGGACAAATGGTAGCTGAGGTGTTTGATTAGTGCTTATTAAAGTTACACCATCTACAATGGCTGCAAGGCCAAAGGCAGGGTTGTGTTTTTGCCAAATACAAATTCTGCCAGTGCTAAGGTGCCAAGAATGGTATCCAAAACTTAAAAGATGTTGCAGTCTTGCATTTGTAACTAGTCAAGAACTTTGTGCAGGTGAGCATTACTGACAAAATAGAGGCACAAGCAAAAGTGACGGACGTGGCCACTGAACTGTTTTGGTTGACAGACCTTAAGGAAAAATGCCCCAAAGCCAACTGATACCAATACAGAAATAATTGTCCACGGCCAAGGGAAATTTTACCACTCACGAATGGATTGGTGCAACTCTAGGAAGTAGGAAAATATGTCTGGACACTGAGGGAATCAAGCTGGTACATAGCAAATCAGCACAGATGAAGTAGAAGTGTTAAGTCTATATAATAAAGCAAACACATCTAGAAATCTGTCCCAAGTGGAGTCAGTGCAGTAGCAGAAGGTTAAGCAAACGTCATGCTAAGGAAGAGATGTGACAGTTTTCCACAAGGATACAGCTAAAAGCCAGAAAAATATTTTTAATGTACCAGAAGTAGAAAGCTTCAGAAAAACACAGGAAATCCAATGGATTCCCTTATGGCAGAGGGGTGCAGCTAAAGAAGGCAAAGAAAATACTATGCATGCAAATGCTTTATTTGCATCCGAGTCCTCCAAAAGGAATGATATTTTCTGAAAAGAAAGACCAGTGCTATCCAAGAAAAAATCAATAGCAACAAAAGACGAACACTGACAACAAAAATCCTAGGCCCTACATCCAGATTTCTAAGAGATTTCAAGTGAGAGGCTCAACAATTGCTAGGAAATAGCATGATCTGACAAAGGAGCAACAGAAAACAAGAAGTCTATACCAAGTTATGTTGGTATATTTTCACAGCCTTTAATAATACAAAGCTGGTGTCCATGACACTAAAGCACACTGAGTGTTGTATCTGCTTGGCAAATGGAGAGGAACAATATCAGCAACAATTCTGCAAAAGAAATCCACGTCTCACTACTGTGCTTGGATTCCTTCCACACTTCCATGCAGTAGTGGATAAAGTCAAAACACCTAGAGTCATTCATTTTGTCTTCCAAGTTTCCCTCAAACCAAGCTACCTATAGGAACACCGTTGTTGTAAGCACTGTAGCTTGTGCCACACACTGAGATCCAAGGCATATGGGACAATCATGATGTGGTGGAGACTCTCTGAAGGTTTCTTGCAACATTATCACATTGCAGAGCTTCCACTCCTAGATTTATGTCTTGCTGGTATGCTGCTTCGATACAAAATACTCTTTAGCTCTCAAAAGCTGTCACATGATGTAGTCTGAAATGTCCATCCCTCCCACCTGAAGGCATGGGTTTCCGAGGGTCTTACAATAAGAGGGCATAGCACACCGTGCCTATAAAAAACAACATGTGATACACAAGAGCAGCACTTGGAAGGACTTTTTGTCATTATTGAGATTTTTCACATTCCTCTTCTTTTACGAACAACGTGCATCTTATTCTCTTATCACCAGAGCAGCATCTTGTTCCATGGAAGGCAGTCCAGGTTTCCTGACCAATGCGGAGGTTCCTAGCAGAACTCCCTTCTAGCTCTGCTGAGTGCCAGCCAGCCCACCAGGACTGTCCTGCCCAGCATTCTGAAGCCCTTGAACATTTCACACCAAACCGAGCAGAGTGCTCACTGCTCCCACAAGAACTTTCCAAGGGAAGGAGGCCCCATAGCCCCACCACTCAGCCCCACGCTGCCTTCAAACGCTTGTGTGGGGCCGTCCAGCACCACAGATCCAAAGCCAGCCGGCCCAGGCAGCCTGGTAGCTTTGCATCTCCATCACCTGTGCTCCAGAATCGACGGGGACGGTGGGTTGGATGCAGCTGCTCCCATGGCCCGGGTTTATGCTGCCACCTAGTGCCCAAGCACGGTGGAGTTCCCCCCTTCCTGAACAGGGCTTGCATTATCAGGTCCAATCATTGCTTGGAACCTTTTGCGTTGTCACATCAGCTTCCAGTGACTAGTTACTAAACACAGTTCCTTTGCTGAGGAACTTAAGGCAAAAACTCTCATAGTTACTGCTCAAAAGCGTCACTTTACAGCTTACGTCACTGAATTGCACCCCACTTCAATACTCTGAGATGCTTTCATTATGTACCAGACCCCTCCCTCGTACTGATTAGAGCCCTCCAGTTGTGTATCACAAGTCACCAGTTTCTCTCCTGCTCTTTTTCCCAAGTCCATTGATGAACACAGTAAGCAAGACCAGCCCCAAGCACTTTCTTAAAAGCTCTCACAGCCAGCTCTCCTGCCCATTGCATTTCTGGCATGTCAAAACAGTAGCTTGTTTATGTCTAGGCTCACTATAGTCTTTCTCATTTTCAGTGACACAAACAGTTGACAATAGTCCCTCTGTTCCTCAGCACTACCAAGCCATCTCTGACATCCTAGCGTGTCTGGCTATTCTTTCTCCATCGTATTTGACATCCCTCACATGACCTCTTACTCACGAAGGACATCTCTGGAGATTTTCTGATTTTTCACTGTGATCAGTACATCAACCTTTGTACCATCTGTTTGGAGAGTTCTCTTTTCCTGGCTTAAGCTTCCTCAGATATACTCCAAGTGCCTGCTGACAGAGATCTCCCCCAGCACCATCCAGGAGCCTTGCTTCTTTCTGAGGTGTATAGTTTTATTGGGGGCAAACCACCAGGCCTTTTCTCCAGAGAGCTGCTTGTTCTTCTTAGTTCTCCATGTATGGATGCAGAAAAGTCCCTCAAGGAGCTCAACAGATGGAAGATATTCTACTGCAAAGAGAAAGCTACCTGTCTTTGGAGCCACTGACATCCAATACAGTTTTCACACCGTGTTTAACACTTTCCCTTCCCTCTCTCCAGTCACTGAGCACTCATCAATTTTGCAGTACATCTGGGTATCCCTTACCCATCAGAGCTCACAGGCACACTGACCCCTCCCCAGTATACAGGAAAACTTGGCTTGCCTGGAGACTCTCTGAAGGTTTCTTGACTTTCCACTACCATCAGTAAATGGTCCTTCTCAACATCTGATAGCTGAAATCCCTTTTCCCCATTTTCACACATTCCTGGAGAGATTTCAATGTACCTGCAGACTGGGACCTCCACTCAGCGTAATCCGGAAGATGCCTTTCTCTGGTAAAGTTGGGAAGAATCTGCCATACACCAACCCTAACTTGGAAAAATATTGCTGGTGGTGGGATTAGAACACAGAGTGCCAGGCAGGGTGTATGGGGAGTGTTTCCAAAGAGGAAAAAATAGGACAAATGAGAGCCACAGATCTGGTTAGGGGGAAGCAGTGTGTAGCACTGAGGCTCTACTTCCCACTCTGCCACCAGATTAGTGTGCGGTACTGAATAAGTTTCCGTGTGGATGCAGTGTAGCAACTGTCCCAGCAAGGTGAGACCCATGTTTGCATGGAATTTAAAAACTAGTTAAATATGTATGAGAAATATTACAGTTAGAAGAAAGATTGCCTGACTAATACTATTCATCTCTCCCGGATTCTGATGTTTAATTAATGCTTGCAAAGCGCTTTGAGATGCTTGGATGAAAGTGAAACAAACACGTCACTGCATGCTGTGACCCCTAATCCTAGAGGTACTTGCAAGATAGACAGAGACTATACACTGTGCCATTGTGGCAGCTCTGAGCAATCCCTGCACTAAGAACAGGTCCGTGAGGGGGGGCCAGGCCTGCAGCTTTGTCACCTGAGGCCCAATAGCCCTGTTTCTCCTTACAAATCTGCACCAAACCCAAATGTGTTTTGGAAGCCAGGCCCATTCAGGGAATGCTATTGCTGGTTGGCATTTGCAGTGACATAAAACAACTGTTCAAAAACAAGCCAGGGTTTCTGCATTACAGCATGCTGGGGAAACAAAATGCAAGCCAGAATCCATGTGAGCTGCAGCAACAACTCAAAGCCTCAGAGCACCTCTTCCAAAGCTCTCATGCCAGAGCCTTACAGTCACAACCTGTCTTTTCTCAGCTGTTTTCTCCAGGACAGCCCTTCTCTGACAGATAGGCCAGAAGGGGTATGTGTGTTCTCAGGCATGCAAGGGCATTTGGGAGAAGCTGATGCAAAGCAGCAGTCTCTGGAAGGAAATTCCTGTCTCAGAATGGGTCTCTGAGAAGTTCTGGGCATTGTGATTTCTCCAAAGAGACATCAAAAGAACCAGCTGCTGAACTTGAGGCCTGATCAGTGCCATTCCTTTCACATCTAGTGGCACTTTATGAACCTCAGTTATGTTTTTCTGAACCTACTCCTTGAAAGCCTGGTTCTGTATCTCTCAACCCATCCTCCAGACAAAGGGGCGAGTGACTGCTTGGAGGAGAAGAGTGGGTGGTATGGAGATGAAATCTCAGCTGTGTCTGGGGCTCAGTGGGTTTCCGTCACCTTGGCTGGGGCTGGGATTCAGAGAGAAAGATAGCGAATGTGGGTGGAAAACCACAAAAGCCCCCTCCTCCACTCTACAGAGAGGGGAAACAGCTGAGCTGTGGTACTGGTGGAGGTTACCTGAGAGAATAAAGATGAAGAAAATATTCTCATCTCACACCAAATCTCAGCAGTACCCTGCGCAGATGATCCTCACTGCTTCAGGGGTTCCCCTTAACTGCGCCCTAATCGTGGTCATTTCTAAACTGCTGGGCCTGGCGGTCAAGGCCCACCAGGACTGGAGGCACAGCCTTGTTGCCGCCCCGAGCAGCCCTGGGGCAGGGCCACAGCCCACTCCTCAGAGGTGGCTCCTCTTAGCAGCAAGACAGGATAGAAAATGGAGGTCAGCTTGCCCTTACAGCTCGTTAGAGGCCTGGCAGTAGTCTGGATCTGCTCAGCTAACATGTTAATTTGCAATCATTCTTTGACAGGAGATCATAGAAGGTTTCCAATCGCTCGCTTTTAAGTTTCAGTTCTGTTACGGCCTCCCAGCAGCCGCCGAATGGCCAATAGGCTCTCTCTCACACTCATTTTTCCCAGGCGTCGCAATATATAGCCTTCCATTATGGTCTTCATTTCTCTCCACATCCAGCATTGAGATCACACGCATTTGGAAGAAAACCATCTACTGAGAGAAGCTCACAGACTGCAGCAGAGCCTGGACCGGCAGCAAGACCGTGCTGACGTTCCGGTGGGAGAGGTGGAGACACAAAGGCCAACCGACATCTGTTGAGCAGCTTTCTAACATCAGCTTCAGTCTTCTCTTCCTTCAGTTATAGCTGCGTTAGATCACTTACAGCAGGTGACAAACACAAGGAGACAGAAACACAGAGGGAGGAAAAGAGGTAAGGAAACTTTCTTTCTGTCTTTCTCTGAAAAAATAGGTCAATCTGTTTGTTTTTTTTGTTTGTTTGTTTGTTTTAATGTTGTCACAAACCTTATGATTTCATACAAGTTACTGTTTTGGACAGGATGAGGGACAGATAAGTTTTGCCCCACTTAAAGTCCTGATGCTAAACTTTATTGAAATGTTTTACTTGATAATATTTCTGGCTGTGCAATTTTTTGAGGCCTTTTATTTTTAACTAAGAAGTGTTCTTCTGTCTGGATTTTTCCTTGGAAGGGGGAAAAAGAGAGCTACTAAAAGATCCTGGGGATCTCACAGATCTCTTAAACCCATATGTAGCGATAGTTCAGAAAAAAGTCCTATAGGACTTGACACCAATGACTGTATTTCCCCAGGGGTTGGAAATGCACTGAGAGCAGCCTTCCAGCATCAACTGCCATTTGCTATCACCTTCTCCACATGCCCTCCAGGAAGGGGAACTTTATTCTAAAAAAAGCCTGAAAGATAAAAAGACGCCAATCTCTAGCTAACTAGGAGAGCCCATTTAAATGTATGTGTTCCATGATCGGTGAGCCTGCTCTAACTATGTCGGCTGGCTGACTCACTGTGCAACACAGCTGCAAATGCAGCCTGAACCACTAGCTCAGGGCTGGCTAAGCAGAATTTCATGCAGCAAGAAATCAGTTTAAGGACATCTGAAAACCTTAGCCTTGTCACAGACTGCTGCACTGTTAAAACCTACCGTTTCATTTCTGGGTGAATTTTTCATCTTTCAGATGATGAATTCTGTTCAACCTTTGTCAGTCACCCCAAGTGTTTCCCTGCATGGTACATTAAGGTTGAGCTCAGGTTACTTCTTAATGTTTTCCACTATAAAATGAGCACTCCTGCTAAGTCCCTTGTGTGTGTTATTCTCAGTTCAGTTCACAAATCTTTTCTTCATCCTCCCCAGTGTTTCACAAAGATGGCTGCCCAAGCTGCCTGCAATGGAGCAGGACTTGACTCATTTTAATGGCACAAACCCACTATCCCATTCGTACTCAGTGCTCTTAGACAGTGCCCATCCTTTCTGCCACATTCTTGCTCAGGGACTGTGTATTCAATGAGGAAAAATTATGGAGTGACTCCTGTCATTTTTGTCAACATTTTTGTTTTGAGTGGACTGGAACGTACAGTTTTGCTGTGCTATGTTATCCATAATTACATAGGCCCTTTTCCAGTGTGGACTGCAAATCAAGAACATTTAATGTAAGATCTCAGTGTTCCTATCTCAGCAGCTGATTAATGATGCCTGAAGCACATCCCATGTGCACATGGCTTGAGAGCACAATGAAGGGCCTGTCGTCAGAGGATATCTTGATACTGTTCGCTAGTCACAGCCTCCTAGAAAGGCATCCAGGGGCTTTAATTGTGAATTGCTGGGATGAAAGATTGTTTACAGAGAGAAATACAGGAGGCCTAGAAGGAAAGAAGAGGGGCTAGTTAGAAGGGAAAAGCTCAAAAAGTGTATGCTGAAATACTTGTCATGCACAGAAAGTTCTTGGCTTCCCCTTAAATGGTTGAAATAGTTCAGAAGCCATCAGGGAACTGGCTGGGCTGCAGAGATAGAGACGTTTCTGGTGGTCTTCATGAAGGTCCAGATGCACAGACAGATTGCAAAGACTTTGTGGCAGAAGGAAACTTGGTTTGTGCCCACATGGCACTCTGCTCCATCTTAGAGGTGGGACCTCTCTCAGAGGGGCTGATGGCTGGCCTTGCTCCATCATGTCCCTCTGGGAGCAGCTGTGGAGGTTGAAAACTTGTTTCAGGAGCTGTTGAACAGCCAGGGTGCTCAAGGGGAAATCAAGGCACGGACTGTGCTGCATGACAGTTAAGCTTGTTCATGCTCTGGGGTGACCGTAAAGCCCATAAAATGACCTCCACTTCTATCATCTCTTTGCTTTCACTGTCTGTTTTTATTGCATTTGGTCTCTTACCCTGCCTACTGCTCACTCATGCTTGCTTGTTAATGAACATTTTCAAGGGAACTGCTGCATAGTACAGTAGATAGCTTTGCTTAAGACACTTAAACTGAGGAGTGGTGTGATCCCTAACAAACAACTGCACTCTAGAACCTAAAATACACACCAGACCAGCGTGTGGCACGAGGGGCAGCTGCATCCCTTGGCCCTTGCCCACAAGCAGCCGCAGGAGAAATGGGGGCAGCAGCCAAGGCTGAGGTGTGGCAGCCCTGATGGGAGCAGCCAGGGCCTCCCTGCCCAGACCTTCCTGCCCAGTTCTCCTTGCCCCACCAAACACACTGCTGCTGCTGTGAGATCAAAAGCACAGCCACAAGCAAGAGCGAGAGGAGAAAACAAGGAAACCGCACGGCATGAAAGCAGTGCGTGAAGGCAGTGAGATGGAAGATAGCCTACTCTGCAGGAGGAGTGGTTTCTGGGCTCTTTTTTTAATTTCAGTTTCCTCCTGTGTCATGCTGCTGTTAGGCTGGAGGAGAGCTGCCTGCAGCCAGAAACTGCGAGGCTCTCAGGAGCAGGTGCTTTCTGGGCCAGGCTTGGTCCTGCAGACCTTGTCCTTGGTCATCCCTCAGTGAGACCAGTCGCTGCCACAGCTCTCTTTTGCCCACCCCCGGGGAGGGAATATTCATTAAAAGAAGTTAAGAAGGAAATTAAAACAATTTAGTAACAGGGGGAAGTTAAAATGAAATGGAAATCAATGTGCACTTGGATGGCAGCCCTGCTCCTCCTGTGAAGACTAGGCGTGCTAATAAATCTAGTGTGCCCAGACTGTTTCTGGCATTGAGGCTGACTGGCATGAGATGGTCTGGGCTATTAAACTCACTTAATCTCCAAAATGAACTGGCTATGTGACAGCTGCCTATAGGGAGTGGTCCCTGTCCCATCCTAACACTTTAATGGATCCTGGGAGTTGCTTGGCAGGAGAGTTCTCTTGGGCCAAAGAAATGTCAGAAAATGTTCTAGCTGTTTAACATGGCTGATGAGTGTGTCCCAGTTCCCAGGGATATTCCCTCACACCACTTGATTTTTGAGTACCACCACAGATACGTCTGTAAGCCTGCAAGGAGGCTGTGGGTCTGCTGTAGACACTAGTGACAAGATCCACTTCCTACTGCGACATAGCAGTCTTACGCAATGAGATGTGTAAACTTCTGAATACCACTGCCCACATTCTGACTCGGAGTGTCACAGGAGACCGAAAGACAGGAAAAATAAGAAGTGGTATGAATGAAAAGCAAAAAGGAGACAGAAAGTGTATGAAAGAAACTCTAGCTGGAAGCAACCTGTTTTCCCCAATGACTCGTAACATGTAGGTGGTCATCAAGATACAGAGATCTACCACAGACATAAGATCAGTATGAATGAAAAAGGAATGGAGAGATATATGCATGAAACCACAAGAAGAAACAGCAGAACAGTGTATGAAAGGTGCATCAACCTGCAGCTACCAAACTGCACAAGGTCAGCAGTTCACTGGTACCATGACATTTTAGTTGTGAGGTTTTGTCCTCCAGCTAGATAGCAAGAAGGTGAAGAACAAACTGAAACAGGAAACAGGAAATTAGATTCACAGACAGTAAAAAATGATGGTGTGTGATGGCAATTTTGCTGGTCTATATCTATTCTATCACCTCCAATATTGTTATAAAGTTTAATGATTCAAAATATTTGAAGCCCAGCACTGAGCTTGTTCACTTGTGGACATCACTGCAGGGAGGTGGCTGACTTTTCCTGCTGGTCTCACTTGGATAGGTGATGTGACTATTCAAGGCAGAGCTTATGTTTCTTCCGTCATCTCAGGGTGATATTGATCTTTGCCAGGGCCCTGTGCCAGGGTGTTTCTTCTGAGTGAGATGCATACAAATGCCTTGTTGTTGCCCCTTTCCTTATTCTGTAGCACAGCTCAACGAACTGCTTGATTACTGCCACTGCATCTGGTGGGAAATTATGTCCAATTGCATGCATTGGCTCCTTTGCATTTTTTTTCCCTGCACAAAATGGCTCATGCAAATATTTCCTGGGCCCAGCATGGTTTTTTTGTTTGCTTTGTAAAAAGCAAGCTGCCAATCATCTCTGACAATGTCTTTGTCATGTATTTCTCTTCTATGGTGCACATAGCTACTGTGTTGCTCGTGCACCTGCATTTTTCATGTGTGTTTGTCTGTTCAGCTGTCAGATTTTCAGCCATGCTGACCTGATCTACATGTAAACATAACACAGATGTTTAATCTATTCTTTGATTGTCTCATGAGCTCTGATCATTTACATTAAATTCAATAATAAAGTATCCCCATGGGAATATGTAATATTGCACATATTATATATGTAGTATTAAGTTATTATTGTGTTCCTTCTGATTTCAGTCCTGTTATGATTCCAGCCTTCACTCTACCATGCTAACTGTGAAAGAATGTGTCTGCTATCATCTAGATCCTGGTGACCTTCCCATCAGTTATTCTACTTCTCTAAACACGGCTGTGATTTTTTGTTGTTGTTGTTGCTATGGGTCCAGATCACTCCTCCACACACCCCTCATCCACGTATCACCCCTGCTTCTGATATCTGATTTTCTCCTTTTGTAGCAGCCAAGGTGTTTTCTCATACTCCATTAAAACAGGGCTTGGTTTGTTCACATTGCTCCCCATTTTTTGTCACTTGAGTTTTATTGGCTTCTGTCTGACCCTCCACTTGATGACATGGAGTTCTTACTTTTCAGACACTGCAGCCCCAAAAATATGCTCATCTTTATCGATTGGACTTTCCCCAGTCTTCGTGTAAGAACATTCTCCCTTTAAATGTCAGCAGACAAGTTCTGTTTCAGTTCAAATGAAGCCTCTCCTACTTTAAACGAAGCCTATGCTTTTTGTACAGCCCCCTGGTGGTCCCACAGATTCAGTTCTTGACGGTCGGACACCACTTTCTCTGTCCGACTGTGAAGCTCTAGCACTCTTCCTGGCTCTATGCTTGCATCTAAAGCATTTTCAGATTTGCCCTTCCCACCTTACAAGCTAAGTTTGCTTGTAAAATCTTTTCTGACCTGTCTCTATGCCGTCAGCTTTCCCACAGTACCCTCCAGTTACCATGCACACACTTGACATCCTCCAGAAGTGCTTTGGAGGTCTCTGCATGTGGAACCATGGATGCCATGGACAAATTCTTCCAGAACCTTCCATTTCAGGTTTTTAATCATCAATGCAACTTCTTTCTGACCTCGTTCTTCCCTTCACCCCAGACTTTTTGTAGAATATCCCTAGGAATTGAAGCAAATTGCCTTTCAAAAAACATCAGAAGCAGTGGTTATCAAAACTTCTAAGATAAGAAACACATAGACAATAACAACAACAAAACCACTAAAGAAAAATGCTACAAGGAGCCCTAAAGATGGTCTCTATCATGCAATCATAAAATCACACAGAAAGACTTAGATGGGAGGGGATCTCTGGATTTCTCCATTCCAACTTCCTGGTTACAGTTTGGGTGATTCTAAAACTACATCAGCCATTATTAACAGAGCATTTGGGTCTTCCAGGTTAGCATCCCTTGGTACCAACAGCATTCCCAGCCCTTCAGTTTGCAGCAGGGAGGAGCGTTCCCTTGGAGATGGAGAGGTGTGGAGCAGTGGTGAGCAGTGTGCTTGCAGTCGTCTTGGTTCTGCAGCTGGGTGAGTCTTCAGCTGCACTGGAAAAGCAGCAGTGAATCCTGCTAATGCTTGCAACCTTCCCAAAAGCCTCACAGCATTTTAGGTGTTTCTAAGCTCCTCATAATTTATCATCTGAAATATGATAAATATGCTTTTTTATTATTATTATTATCTTTTAATAATTGTTGCCACCTCCTATTGCTAAGGTGAATCTGTAGGCTGATGTGATGGGAGGGCATGGTTCACTTCCCCTGAGACCACTGAGATGCTTCTGCAGGAGTCTGCTCAGAGAGCAGTCTCACATGCTTTTACAGCAGTCCTGTTCAAGCCTTTCTCCCCAGATCAATACAGATACAGCAGTCACCTTCTCACCTCTTGTCTGGCCCACTCTGCAACTGTCCAGCAGTGGTGATATGGCTCTCACAGCATTGCCACAGAAAAAGACCACCAGTCGAGGAAGACTTTGTGCCATACAGCATCAGGGTTCAAAAAACCTGGATGAACGTGAATAAATGCTTCAGAAGGAACTTGTGCTCAGGGCAGAGCTTGTTTCCTGGGCCAAAACCAGCCCAGATCCCATACACTGAGCACAGGGTGGAAAATACTACCCCTCACACTGCCTCCTGCTGCCTGGGTGAAAACTTGTGAATTTCTGATCATAGGTTTGCCATTACAAATTTTATGTTAGCAGCTTGTTCAGTTTGATTGCTAATGTTACAACAATTGGTGGACATTTTAGTGATCTTTTTACAAGAATGGAAAGTTACTGAATAATGCCAAATCTGCATTTCTCAAACATTCAGCTTGGATTATTCCAGTTGCAAAAAAAAAAAAACATGAAAATATTGTATGCAAGCTGTAACTAAAAGCATTGCAAAAGACACCAAGATAGTCTTATGAATGGCATTCATAATTTGCCCTTTTTAGACTGATTCATCATTTTCAGTGATCACGTTCAGTGCAATTATTGGAAAACCTCTGTTATCCATGCTGCAGAATACCAGTGCTCTTGGAGGAAAACATAACTTGTGGAAACCTCTCCCACAAACACATACAGACTTTTCATTTTACACTTCTAGGGTGCTCCTGTAGTAGGACCAATGAGAGCTTTGCAGTTCTGTGCAGCTGAAGCAGTTCTGAAACGTTTTCCTTTCCTTCTCCTCCCCTCCTCTTTCCTCCCCTTCCCTTTCTTCCCTTTTCCATTCTTACTTTTTCCCTGCCCTTCTCTTCCACCTTCCTCCTTCCTCCTCCCTCCTTCCTCCTTCCTCCTTCCTCCTTCCTCCTTTCTCCTTCCTCCTTTCTCCTTTTCACATCCTTTATCCTTTTGTTTTCCTGAGTTTTCAGTCTTGCTTTGTGTAAAATTTGGAGGAAGAGGTAACCAAATTTGACAGTGCTGCCTCAAGCTTTGAACACACAGTGAATGAGGAATGACACATGTAGTCCTGCCTTCGTTACCAGCAGGACAACAGAATCTCGTTCAGTGGGGAAAAGGTTGTTTCAATAAAACTGCTTTTACCTCAAAATTGTGAGTGTTGGTAAACCCACCATAACCACAGGTATTTGGGGGCATTTGACTTCTAGGTCTGACCCCCATTATGGCTCAGCAAGAACAACAGACTGGGCTTGCAGGAAAGGAGGTGATCCTGAACTGTAAAATCACAAACCATCAGAGAGATCAGACCTGTGCTTGGAAGTACAAGTATAAGGAAGTTTCTTCTACAATTATAAGCTTTTCTAAAACAAAAATTTTTAAAGGTAAGGCTTCCAATTTCACACCCCTTCTCCTCAGTATATAGCTGAGAAATTTCTTCCCTCCTAAACAAGCTTATTTTTTCAAAAGGCAAAGCCCCAATGACTCATCGATCTGAATTGAAGTCGGACAGCAAACAGCTGAAGGTGTCAGACTTGAGCCTGGATGACGCTGGCATCTATACCTGTGCATGTTACTCTCCTGTAGTCAGTATCTCACTGCATGTCTTTAAATGTGAGTGCCTAGAGGGCTTGTAACCACAAGGAGGTGAGGGGAGGGGAGAAAAGGTCCAAGAAACATCTCTGATGGAATTCCTTATCCATCATGCCATTGCTTCACAACTCATTTCCCCTTTCACTTGCAGAAAGAGGAGTTGATTTACTGGCTAAGTTTTTTCTCTTTACAGTGACAGTCTCTTCAAATGGGTACTTCCTTGCAAATGAAGATCTTGAGCTCACTTTAATGCAAAATTCATCCCACTCACAACCCCATCTCAGCATCGAATTGTTTAATATTAGCAAGAAGATAGTGACAACAGAAATTTTGCAAAACGAGGCTCCTCAAAAATACACACTGAAGCTAAAGCAACTGAAGGCTACGGACAGTGGAACCTGGATGTGCCACGTTTATTCAAACTCTCCATTGATTAATCAGAACATCTCCTTTGATGTGAAGGTATTAGGTACGTGACAACAAAAATGCAGCTTGCATACAGACTTTGGAACCAGTGCTTTCTCCAGCTCATGAACCATGATTTCATTTTCCACCATTCACAGAATAGTGTCCAGGGCTAATTTCCCTGGGCCTCCAACCCTGCAGCTGGATTGCTCTGTTGCCTGAGCTCTGTCTCACACTTCTTCCCATTTTCTTCTCGAGGCTGGCCCTAAAAGATCACCCTCTCCTTGGGGACTCTTCTTCTCAGCTCTGGTGAGCTTGAGAGTTTTGCCTCTTTAAACCCATTCTCAGTCTCTAACTGCTTATCCCCCCTGAGACATCTTGTGGCTTTTTTCTTAGGACTCTCAGCTGAGCACAAGACCAAAGGTACACTCGGAGAAGCCACAGATTTCCCTGCTTATGTATTCTTGTATCTTCTGAATTCAGGTTTTGGGGAAGAACGCTCGGAAATAATGTACACTACTGTTGGCAACGCTGTGATCTTGTCATGGCATCTGAACTTCAGGAAGATAGAATGGAAAGAAGGTTTCATAGGAAAACTGAATTGGGAACCACAGGAAAATGCAGCCATCCATGAGCTGTTCAATTTCAGTGTCACAACACGTCGAGAGCTGCATAAAACTAAAAAAAGCAACCACATTTGGTTTGAGATACCTGGAAGGAAAACTGACAGTACTATAGAAGTTAAAATCCCCAAAGCCCAGTTAAATCACGCTGGGCGGTATCGATGTCAGCTGGAGATCAACAGTAGAAGAATCTGGAGCATGAGGGCACTAGTGGTGATGCAAGGTGAGAGAAAGGGATCAGCAGATGAGGAGCTGCAGAAATCTGGATGCCACAAGTGTATGGATGGACCCATCTTCCCATCCTCTCACTCATGTGACATTTTCTTATCTTTCCAGTCTCGGCTAACCCTGCTGGGCCACTCTCCAGAGGAAGCAAGATGACCCTGCTCTGCCAGGTGTCTGGTCCCCTGCCACCCAATGCCCACTTGCTCTGGGAACGTGCGAATGGGACTGAGATGGAAATCAAGAAGTCAAAACAGCAAGAAGCAAAAGTGGAGGTGAACGTCAGTGCTCCAGGATTGTGGAACTGTCACCTCATGGAAAACAATAACAGAAAGATCAGCCTTAATTATACCGTGGGTATGGAAATTAACATCGCATCCCTACCTCCACACAAAAGCCTTGAAATTCTCTAGCTGCCTTTGAATACTTTTCTCTTTCCACAGAGGAAGCTCATGTTTGGAATAGCTATGCAGTAATTGGAGCAATTATTGGAGCCAGTGTGTTGGTAATCGGCCTTGCATGCGTGTGCATAATCACTGCTATGAGCTGGCAGCGGAGAAGGGTTAGTATCCCAGTGTCCATGAAAGGTGAAGAGGTGACAATCTTCCCAGACCATAGGAGGAGCCTGGTTTTCTCTCTGTGAGTGGGGCAGAATAGATAGTAGGTCAGTCCTTACACTGAAGGCAAAGGGTTAGAGATTGACAGTCTGCAGGTAGTAGCTACGTCAGAATGTACTGCAGTACCCCATCATAGGGAAGCATTTTAAGTGTAAACAATTTAGTTGTTATTTATCCCTTCTCTTTTGGTAGAAACGGGTAAAAAGGATGGCACAAGCAAAACAATACTTGCTGGAAAAGAAGACATGCCAGTGTCAACGGTAAGTGGTAATGAGGACAGCTGGATTGAGCAAGTACTTTGCTTTCAAGATAGGGGAGCTGGATGGTTGAGTGGGAAGAAAGGGAGCATGAACCCACTTGGTGCCCACACAAAAACTGCATTTCGGCATTTTCAGTTATTGTTATGTTTCTGAGTTACGAGCTATATCTTATGAATTGCTTGTTATGCTCCATACCCATGGTAGTTCTGTGCTTGTAAACTTCTAAGCAGAGGTTTCACTTGAATTACCTCGATGTTTAGACATGCCAAACTCAAGCAGGAGCTCCAGAGTCCTTTGATAGGATTCAGAATCGACCTGAATTACAGATTGAGAGGTTGTGGATACTGAGGTGGAAGACACACAACCAGCTTCAAGAATGAAAAACAAATCTAAAAAATCCATTATGTCATAATGTGACCCAGCTCTGCTATCCAGTGCTGAACTGCAGTCTGTGAAAATTGCCAATGACCTCCTAGGAGCCAGGAAAGAGAACACTGTGAACCATCCCCTCTCCCAAATGCACTGGTGATACACCATCATATTCTGGCTTACTTTGGGGAAGCAAGGACTTCTCAGCAGAGCTTTCCCTTTTCAAGGTCTTAAGGCTTATATGATATCAGGCCACAGAAACAGTTGCAGAGGAACACTGACATTTACACTATCATTGGAAGTGGAGAGCCCACAACAGTATAAATAACAACATGAAGTAGTTCAATAAATCAATGGATACGGAATTTGACTTCTGCTTGATTTTAACTGGTGACAGTGGCAAACTGTGATAAGTTTCACCAGTTTTTCTCACTGCTATTGAGGTTTCATTGAGTAAATGGCAAACACTGCTTCATAGTTAGGATGTGTATATGTGGTGAAAAGCTGATTATCATAACATGTTGAAAAATTCACCTGATTTTCCCTGACTTTTTTTCAAGGTTAGAAGAAAATATCCATAAGAAGGACAAGCCCATACAACTACATAAACATACAGCTAGACAAATCTGTGCAATACAATTGCTGATGCAGTTATTTTTTAACTCTCCTTATCAAGCAAGCTTCTCAGTGTAACTGAAATGTAAACAGCCGTGTGGATGCACAAGTAACCGTTTGCCCCCAGACTGCAGAAGGGAGTGTAGTCCTCCCCTATGAGCTGTCTGGCTTCAAGACGTCATCTCAGTAATCCTGGTGCTAACGTAATGTTTTTCTCTTGCAGCCGGATGTATAACTAGCTTTGCAGACTGAGGAACTCTCTGCCTGTACCTAAACAAACACCTGTCAGCCCACAGTGCTCTGCGAACCCACCTCCCTTTCTCCTGTTTTGATATAATTCTCTATGCCTTCATCATTCTCTCAGTATAATGCCACGGAGGATTATTGTCTGGAGAGGAGCCAATGGACAAGATAAGAAACCCTTACAGGTTGTTATTGAGCCCCAGCCCTATAATGAGAGACACTGAATAGAAGAGTAGCTATATATATATAATGCTTGTATTTTGTTCATGCATTTCATTTTACCTTCCTGTGGAACTGATTTTATATGCTTCTTTTATTCACTGGAGCTACAATAAATTTCTTCAGATTTTTGTTTCTTTGCAAACTGAACTAATTTTTTTTTTTTTTTCTGAGGCACTTTCTTCTGACTCAGATCTGCATTTCTGCCTTTCCCCTTGGATGTATAATCTTCGTTCTCAGTTTCCTGCATCCCTTAATTTTCCTTAATTCACCAGCCCTCTGTTCATTTTGAAACACGTTTGCTTTCCTTCAGTAGCCCCACATAACCCTCAAGCCCCATACCACATCTTGTAGTCTTCATCTCATCTGCAACAAAACAAAGAAAACATCACGAACAATGGCATAATTCAGGACTAACTTTGTCAGTAAAGCAGTTCAGGGTACTCACAACTTGTAGAAAATAGAGCTTTAAGATGATGTGAATGTTGATGTAGGAGGTAGGCTTGGGAAAAGGGAGAAATTTCCTAAGAGAACAAAGGAGCCTTGGACTGTGTAAGCCAGCAAAGATCCTTATGAGAAAACTCTCTTTGAAATTTCTCTTTGTGAGCTCAAGGAAATGGGAAGAGGGAGTGGAAACTTCAGGAAATTCAGGGTGAAGTAAAAGTGTGTTGCATACTTTTCCAAATATCCAGAAGGAAAAATACTGTTAAAATAAGTGCACAGAAATCTTGTGTTTACATAAGCATTTATGTAAGTTTTTCTCCTTTCTGCTAGAGATGGGTCATAGAGGCCTTAAGGTCCCATAGCTGTCACTGACAGTAGTCCAGGGTTGCTAATTGGTCTGGGCTTGCTGAGGAGAGGCAGGAGCAGATGCAGTGCTGTGGAAATGGCTTTTGTGGCAGAGACTTGCTGCAGGACACCTGGTGCTAGAGAAGAGGGTTTCTCTGTCACAGCCATGTCAGCATGGCACAGTTATCGGCAGTGAAAGAAACAGGTGGTGACAACGGCCAAGACGGCACCTGTGAGCCAGGAGGAAGCCCATCCATCCTCCTTGCTGTTTGAAACACAGCACAACCACTGGTTGCTCCTGGGCTGGGACACAGCTGTAGCAGCCACTGCTCTGCCCAGACAGACTCCACCAGTGTCTTCATACAACACAAAGCAACACAGATGCCTTCATTTTCCTTCCTATCATTTGTGGTTGTGAATACAAAACTACATGAACTGTAAAAGAGAATAGTACAGTTGGTAGGGACCTACGAAGATCATCGAGGCCAAGATGATCTAACTAAAAGGGCTAACTAAAAGTTAAAGCACAGGTCTCGTGATCTCAGCAGTCACAGCCCTGCCCAGCCCTTCTTGAAATTCACCTGCAAAGACATTCTCAGCTCAGATCTCAGATATATCTTCTTTTGTCAGCTCTCCAGTCTGTACCTTCTCACATGACAGCTTTCTTGGCTCTAGATGCACACAGTGTCCTATCCATGAAAAAAGTCACCCACAGACCAAGTCTTGAAGGAGTTTTGCTTTCTGTCTAAAGGCAATATTGAAAGCTTCACAGTGGTCTTCAAGGTAGAGTGGAGGTGGAGGTTCTGAGCAGATTAGAATGTGTCACAGAATTACAGAATCATAGAATCACAGAATGTCAGGGATTGGAAGGGACCTCGAAATATAATCTAGTCCAATCCTGCTGCTGGAGCAGGAACACCTAAATTAGGTGACAAAGGAACACATCCAGGCAAGTTTTTAATGACTCCAGGGAAGGAGACCCACAACCTCTCTGGGCAGCCTTTTCCAGGGTTCTGTTATCCCTACTGCCAAGAAGTTTTTTCTCATATTTATGTGGAACCTCCTATATTCCAGCTTGCACCCATTGCTCCTTGTCCTATCATTGGATGTTACTGAGAAGAGCCTGGCTCCATCTTCATGACACTCACCTTTTACATATTTATAAACGCTGATGAGGTCACCTCTCAGTCTCCTCCAAGCTAGAACCCAGCCCCCACAGCCTCTCCTCATAAGGGAGATGCTCCATTCTCTTTATCATCTGCGGCTCTGCACCAGACTCTCTCAAGCAGTTCCTTGGTCTTTCTCGAACTGACAGGCCCAGAAGGAAACATAATATTCCAGATACAGTGTTACCAGGGCAGAGCAGAGTGGAGGAGAATCTCACTTGACATACTAACCACACCTCTTGTAGTACACATCAGGATGCCACTGGCCCTCTTGGCCACAAGGACACAGTGCTGGCTCGTGGTCATCTTCCTGTCCACCCGGACCCCAGGTCCCTCTCCTCTATGCCGCTCTCCAACAGGTCAATCCCCAACCTATACTGCTAGCTGAGATAGCATCAAGGATAAGTTGTTCCATCACCTTTCCAGGGATGGAGGTGAGGTAGACCAGACTGTAGTTACCCGGGTCCTTCTTCTTGCCCTTTTTGAAGATTGGAGTAACATTTGCCTTCCTGCAGTCCTCAGGCACCTCTCCCATTCCCCATGACTTACAAAAGATAATGGACAGTGGCCTAGAAATGACTTCTGCCAGCTCCCTCAGCACAGGTGCATCCCTTCAGGACCCATGGATTTATGGATGTCCAGATTGCTTAATTGGCCCCTAACCCAGACCTCATCAACTGAGGCAAACTCCTCCTTGATCCTGACTTCCTCTGGGCCTCAGGTGTATGGAACTCTTCAGGACAGCCTCTGGCATTATAAACAGAGACAAAGAAGGCATTCAGTAACTCCACCTTCTCTGTATCTTCTGTCACCAGGGCACCCACCTCATTCGTCAGTGGGCCTACATTGTCTTTAGTGTTAGTTTTATCTGTGATGTATTTGGAGAATCTTTTTAATGAAATCGCACAAAACATGTAGTCAGTGCAGATATACCTTATGCTCTAATGCAGCATGGAAGCTAGATGGTTTCAGAGATAAGAAGCCAAGAGGCCCTACCCCACTTGCAGTGGGTGCACTCAGCCTCCTCGGGAGGTGTGCAGAGGATTTCTCACTTCTATAGGTGTGACAAGGGAATAGTTACATTATGCAGTGGAGTAGTGCTAGCTAAGAGATTCACAGCCCTTCAAAGTGACAAACAGTATGACATGTGGTGACAGCTCAGTAGAGCAGCCCTGAGATGATGGCAGGACTCAGAAAGTCATATATGGCAACACTTACAAAATGACAGTGGTCCCCAGAGCTCTTTGCAGTGGTGTGGGAACATCACAGTAAGCAAGAGGTTAGAAAAAATGAAGAAGTGTTGGCTTTCCCCAGTGTGATGGTGTTTCTGGCACTGCTGCTTCCCATGTCTCTGGATTGCAGAAGCGATAAAGTTCCAATCCTTTGGACACAACTCCAACCTCAGGTCCCTATCAGGACCCACAGATCTGTGTTGACAAAGAGGCTTTGACTCGCCTGAGGATAGCCCACATACCCAGCTCAGCTGGAGCAACCCCAGCACAGGCCCCAACCTCCCCAAGCCCTCCTACCCCACTTTCCAGCTTGTTTCTGCCCTCCCGCAATGTGAGGCTGCTGCTGGGAGGAGGCTGTCAGGTCCGATCTGCCGAGGCAGTCCCTGTGACTCATGCTCCCCCGCGGGCTCTGCAGTAAAGCACTCCCATCGATTTGTCGTTTGGAGCCAAACGACCCTGTGTGTTTCTACCCACGTTCCCAAGCTCCAGAAAGGAGGAAGCTGTGCTCTTGAGCCTCTTTGCTTTGCAGCCAGCTTGGCTGAGTCTGAGAGGTGTGGAAGTCCTCCAGGTCTGAAAAATCAGAGAACAGCAAGAATAAGGGTGGGTTGCAGAAGCCGGCAGTTAACAGGGCATCAGAAGGGATGAGGTGTCTTCTTCCCTGGTTCAGGCTTCAGAGGTCAGACGTGCTTGGACAAGCTGAGAAAATGGGGTAGTAAAACGCATGTCGTAATTCTGTGCTACAAATCCAAAGCAAAGAAATCATTTCAGCTCCCTCCTGACATTGCATGTTCCCAGATTAATGGTTCCAGAGCTCCTAGTTATCCTCTCTGTGGGGTGTTCAGTAATTCTAAAAAGTAGAACAATTACATTCTAAAATGACATCTTTACAGTCCTTACAGAGACGAACTCACTGTCCTGGGGTATCACTGAGGCTGGGACAGATGAAAATAGGGTCAGTAAGAAAGAGAGGACAAGAACAAGAGGAAGCGGGGGGGAGCAGGAGGATGGAGATACCTCTACAGAACAGCAAGCAGCTTCAAAACAACCATGCATCTCAGCAGCCTGCCCTGGAATTTCCTTTCCTCAAGGACAATATCACATGCAAATATTTACATCTGTTACAGAGAGAAACGTCTTTCAGAATGCATCTAGCTGCCCGGAGAAAGGCATCCATCTGTGAACAAGCATCCACAAGTCTGAATTCTGGTTTTTACACCCGCAAGCCCTTAGTATTTCTGCGCAGCTCATGACCGGTGTTAGACAAGGTCTCCTGTCTCCTGGGATGAGCTATTAGCACTTGCCCATTTTGCAGATGAATTAAGAGAGAAATCTCACTAAATCTTTTCATACAGTGCTAGAAATAGAATCTAAGGTTTGGGTATGACAAATTGACACTGCGGTTGCTGTCTTTTCAGGACCAATATGCTCATGGATCTACTTGGCTGGCTTGCCATTAGCCATTAACCACACCCTGCTAGCAGAAAATAGACACCAGGAAAGCTGCCAGCATGCCACCAGCATCGCTCTGCAAACCTTGGGCAGAGCTCATGCCAAGGCTCTGAGTTTGGGCTTAGCTGAACCCGTGTTCCGTGAGAAACATGTGAGACCACCGGGGCCACTAGCAGAGCCCCAAGAGCTGCAGACCATCAGATCCCTGTTTTTAGAAGTGGATTGGGCTATTTTGTTAATGCTTTTGCTTTTATGATTTTGCTTCTTGTTAATGAGATATTTCCCTTTCTGGGACACTTCTTCATAGAGTGTTTCCTTGCAGAGCTGCCAGCCAGAAAGAATACTGATCCCTGTGCAGTGAACTTTTCCAGAAAGCAGTTCCTACACAGGCATTATAAATGCAGTGTTTCTTTGGGCCTGGGTGCCCTAGGACATGCAGGCAGGTTGCTGAGTCTTTGGACAGCAGGTCACTGGTTGGAGTCCTGCCTGGCTCTG